TGCTCCTGCAGAAAGGCAGGGAGTTGGGGGGAAAAAAAGGAAACTACAGAAGTGAGAGCAACTAAGAGTCAGAAGTTGGAGGAAACAAATGAGGAGAGCAGAGGCTGAGGAATGTAAAAGTTCAGAAGCTTGTGCTTAAAGTAGTTGAGGTTTATCTGCTGAGCTGATTGGTGAGGCCATGCATCTGAGTTAAAAAGGCTTAAGAGAGTTACTTGGCATAATTTCTCCATCTTCAATGATTTACTACTGAAGTGCAAACATCAATTTTGGACTCTCTCCTGAGAAACGTTTAACAAAGTCAGAGAACTTCTGGTACCCTGATACCTTTCTAGATTTGCCAAACTTTGATAGCTCTTTAATAAACCTATGCCTGAAGTTTATCTTAGTCATTTTTATTTCTATTCAGGCAACAAATCCATCAGTAAATATCCAGATATAAAAATGATCTTCTTCTTTACTTCTCCATTATGATATATCTTGGAATTGTACAGAAATGCACTCCATTGTTAAGGCTATTTGTGCCGGGTGTGCTAATGCACTCTTTGATTGAGTGAATTAGCAGTCATAACAATCTGGCAGTCTGGCCATAGAAGTGTGCTCAAATTGATTTGTGTTATGGCTGGACTGGAAAATCTAGTGTTAGTTGTTTTTTGCCCTGGGGCATTGTTTGTACCAAACTCTACTTTTCATTTAATTTTCCAATACATTTTGAAAGATTGAAATGCTTGTGAATCAACATTTGATCCACTTGCATTATTTTAAAAAAATTCTGAAAGTAATTTCAGATTCCAAAAAACCTTGCTTTCAATTAGAGTAAACATAATTAGAGTGACGTCGTGCTCAGAATGGTAAATCTCCCTTAGAATCTATTAAGCATGTTATCTCCTTGTCCTGTCACTGAAAGGCATTCAGTATATATGTGGAATACACATCTGTATTTTTCTGTGCCTGCTTCAAGTAGTACTTGGGAAAAATTAAAAGAATAAAATGATAAAGATGTCTTCTCATTGCCCTTTCTGCATATGCTCAAATTGTTTCTGTTTCACTTAGTGATGCCATAAAAGGAGGATAGCCATAACATTCAGGAATATTTGAGATATTAAAGGAACACGTCTAGATACACCTCACCTTTAAGTTACTCATTTTAGTTTTTATATTCTATGAAATATACATTCTCATTTAAAAAGATAACTATATCTATTGCTCTATTGAAACTCTGAAGATGTAAAGACATGACTTTATCCTGGTTTTGTCAGTATTTGTACCTTTGTTACAATCTTCTGCTGTGTAGTCGTTTAGCAGAATTATAATGCAGCATGAATAAACCTAAAAAATGACTATTGATTACAGAGAAAGCTTTGTGAAATCATTTAGTCAGTTTCCCCACTTGAGAAATCAGTAAATAAAATAGGTCAATACATAAGGATGCAATAAATGTAATACAGTTCTATGTCTCCTTGAGTTATAAAAAGGGTCAAAAATAAATCCCTATAGAATTCATTTTTGTACTCATAAAAGAAAATGATACTTACCAAATCCCAACTCTAAGTCCATCTTTCTACAGATTTTTTATTCTTCTTTTTTTTTTAAACCACAGGTTTTGGAAGTATGTTTTTATGTGTCCTTGTTTCATTTCCTTGTCACTGTCCCTTTTAACTAAATAGGATGCCCTCATCCCCTGGCTAAAGTGCCTGTTATTATCCAGGCATTCACTGGGACTTGAGCTGCAATAGCTACTTTGTGTTTTCTTACTGTCTCCTGCAATCTTACAGCTCTTCTTACAACTGCATTTCCTACTGCACTGAACTCTACATCCCGTGCCGATTTTTGTTCAGTAATAGATGATGAGACCTGAGCCCACTCTCTATATTAGTTCTCATTCGTAAGGATGTAGTCTGGGGGGGGGGGGAGCGGGAGGAACGAGGGAGGAAAGAAGAGGAGGGGCCAGAAGGGGGCAGGAGGAGGGAAAAAAATACCTTCCCTGAACCGGTACAAGCTAAGCTTCAAACGATATCCTAGGAAAGAAATTAAAGACTTCTTAATTAGTGCAGCAATTAAGCTTTCTTGGTAGCATTTTAATCAGCACAGGCCCTATCAAAGGACAAACAGAACGATTTGCAGGTCTTTGAATTTTAAACAGTCTTATTGATTTCAGCACAATACGTCTTCACAAAACACAAGGAGAATTTTCTAATATCAGTTACAGTACTTTGAGTTTTGCTTGTGCAAATTGAGTGAAGGTTGTGGAAGATGAGATGGAGGGAGAGGACCTGAAACAGCAAGCGATGTAAAACAATAAACGAACAAGACAGAAGCTCTGAAGCTAAAGATGTAATAGAGTGAGAATTTGAAATATCTCTTAAGTTGATTTCTCTGCTGTTGTTAAATACTCTTTGACTTCATTATTGGTAACATTTCTAAAAAAAAAAAGGAAAAGAATGCTCCACATTTTTTCAAGGCTTTTCTTTCCTACATATTTTAATTTGCATTATATGACTTTTCTAATCCTATTGTTTGATCAAAAGAGTGATAGTTCCTTGAAATGGCTTAGAGACCTGAGGTGAATGTGGTGGGCTTGAGGGTATAGGACTCCCATTTAGGTGGGACAAATGCCCCAAACCCTGCTTCAAATTAAGGCACAGGGCTCAGTGGTATAGGGTCCCTGTAGAAGAAAAGAAAATTGGAGATGGCTTCTACACAGGGTTGGGGTTAGGTTTTGGTCTGCTACCACTGCTTCCTGCCTGTGGGTTCAAAGTGTGGCAGGTTTTGGGTGACTGATGGTTTAAGGAAATTCGAGAAATGAGAATGGTAAGGGCAGATTTTTAACATTTAAACTACCAGTTTTTCCATTTGCATGACTACACTTTGTAAATAGAAATATGTAGTTTAGCATTTAAAAACCCGGTTTATTAAAGCTAAGTATGCAATTCCAAAATTAGTTTTTCATAGCTTAACACTTGCTTCTTCCCTTGCCCTCATTAACGTAGTAATCTGGCATTCTGAAAAACAAATACATATTCTAAAGCACATATAAACACCTAAAGAAGTGCTTTGAAGTATGTGACATATGTTGAATTTCTACATTTAAGTGAGGACTGATTTAAGGAACAAAATTCAGTAAAAATAATTGGTGACTATATTAAAATGCATTGGGTAACTAGTCCAAACAGCTGTGTAAACTTTAGCTATTCTTGTATAAGTTTATCTACTTTTCTGCAAGTTTTTTCAATATTCAAGTTTTCTCAGTAGAAAGCCTCCTGATATAACTGCTATGCCCTCAAAAGTTTAACATAAACTCAGACTAGTTAGTTCAATAGTGTCACATTTCTTTGTAGATAGTTCCTGCACTTTTTGACACTAAACTTCAGAGTTTAAAGGCTTAAAATGATAAAGAGAAAAGTGATAATAATTTTAACATCAAAATGCTAGATTTCTCAACACTGTGAACCTGCTACTAATAGTTTATTTTTAAAATCTATCAAATGCTATCACATTGTTTCATATCTTGTGGAGTTACTGGATGTGTGTAAACAGGTTCAAAGCCTAACTATTTAAGATTCCTAGAGATATAAGCAGCAAACAGAGATGACCTATGCTTAACTTATATGTTGGTCAAAAATCCTTGAGTAAATACCTCCATGCAACAAGTTAGAAAAGGGAAGAAAAGGAGAGAGAAAGTAGAGGAAGAGAGCCGCTCTACACTGTCTACTGTTGTTCTCAAGGTTAGCTACCCTTTCTGCCTTTACAACTCAAGCAGTGAGCTTAGGTTTTGTTCTCCTCATTATTTACAAAACACATTACTGAAAAACTGAAAAGAACTTTCTCAAAATATTTTGATGCTTTTCAAGTATGAAAAAACACCACTATTGTATTTCTTCAATATCACACTAGCCACTAGTCTTAGATCTTAAAAGGATGTGGGGAGAGTTGGTTAATGTCCAAGACAGGTGACTTAATTATAGAGTTTGGGTAAGAAACAGCAGTGTGTTATTTTATTTTTTTCCTGCTTTCCAAATCTTTAAGGATGCTGTTCTCTGAATCTTTTTAGGTCGAACAAATATTTCTGACCTGGCTTTAGGGTGAATATGAAGTTATTCTGAACAATCTAGTTCATGGCAAGCATTTATTTCCACTGACTATTAGGAAATAAGGAATTCAGTACAGAGCATGTCATTATCCTTAAGCGATTTCAGACTGACTTTCTTCCCACAACTTGCTAACTCTCCTGAAATTCTCACTCTCTTTATATAAATAATAGAGAAATTTAAAAAATCTGGTGCATTAAAAACATTATGGTTTGCTTACATGTGAATTTTCCTCAAAAGAATTTCTTAATAATCATGAAGTGGGGATGTGTTTTCATTTGTATCTCATTGCAAAAAGGCGAGGAGACGCAGCCTAAATCCTTGAAGGAGAGCTCAGAGCGCTCTGGCTCTCGTTTAAGTTGTCAGGCGACTGCTTAGAAGCTTTTGGGGGAAAAAATGAGGAGTCGTCGCGGATGAAACGGAGTGTCGTATCGGGCATGCAATCTAACGGCAGCAGTGAAAGAGGCGCAGAAGATGCTGTCTCTCCTCTCCGACCGCCACTCCTGCGTCCCCGGCTTCGCCTCGCCTCAGTCTCTTTCCGTCTCCTCCCCCTCCCTCCTCCTTTCTCCGCACGCTCCCCTCTCTCCCTCCGTCTCCCGCTCTCTGAGTCTCTGCTCCGAGTTCCTGGTTGGATAATTTGGGTTAATACTAGTGAGTGAGGTTTTTGCGGCTTCAAAGGGTATTTCAAGTTTCCGGAGCTCCTCCCCTCTGCACCGTGTGACAACAACAACTCGTCCAGCCGGCAGCCTGCACTTTTCAGCTCATTTTCTCTCTGTCATTCCCCTCTCAATCTTTGATCAATGTACTTGCCAGGGAGAACCCAAGTCCCTCAATCCTCTTCCTTTTCACCTCCATCCTTAACTTCGTGCTAGAGCGGGACCCACACCCCCACAGCCGACCCTCCCCGCCCCGCCCCCGCCCCCAGCCAGCCCTGGATCCCGGCCCCCGGAGAGGACTCGCATTTCGACTTGCGGGACACTTTTGTGCGTTTCTCCCGAGCGCGCCTCTCGCGCTCGCCCCTCCTGCGCTCGCGCTTTCTAGCCCTCACCTCCTTCTCCCATTCTCTCCCTCTCTCCTTCTCGTCCGCTCCTAGAGTTGTTGTGCTTGTTGCTGCCCCGCTCCTCGCTCCTTCTCCCCCCTTTCTTCCCCCTTCCCCTCCCCGGGGGTGTGTGTGGCAACTTTTCCCCCCTCGCTGCTCCTTCTCCTGTTTGCCCTTATATGTGACCATGGCAGTGCCGGCGGCTTTGATCCCTCCGACCCAGCTGGTCCCCCCTCAACCCCCGATCTCCACGTCTGCTTCCTCCTCTGGCACCACCACCTCCACCTCCTCGGCGACCTCGTCCCCGGCTCCGTCCATCGGACCCCCGGCGTCCTCCGGGCCGGCTCTGTTCCGGCCGGAGCCCATCGCCTCTGCGGCGGCGGCGGCGGCCACAGTCACCTCTCCCGGCGGCGGCGGCGGAGGCAGCGGAGGCGGCGGTGGCAGCGGTGGCAACGGCGGCAGCGGAGGCGGCGGTGGCGGCGGCGGCGGCGGAGGCAACTGCAACCCCAGCCTGGCGGCCGCGAGCAACGGCAGCGGCATCAGCGCTGGCGGCGGCGGCGCCTCGAGCACCCCCATCAACGCGAGCACCGGCAGCAGCAGCAGCAGTAGCAGCAGCAGCAGCAGCAGCAGCAGCAGTAGCAGCAGCAGCAGCAGCAGTAGCAGCAGCAGCTGCGGCCCCCTCCCCGGGAAACCCGTGTACTCAACCCCGTCCCCAGTGGAAAACACCCCCCAGAATAATGAGTGCAAAATGGTGGATCTGAGGGGGGCCAAAGTGGCTTCCTTCACGGTGGAGGGCTGCGAGCTGATCTGCCTACCCCAAGCTTTCGACCTGTTCCTGAAGCACTTGGTGGGGGGCTTGCACACAGTCTACACCAAGCTGAAGCGGTTGGAGATCACGCCGGTGGTGTGCAATGTGGAACAGGTTCGGATCCTGAGAGGACTGGGAGCCATCCAGCCGGGAGTGAACCGCTGCAAACTCATCTCCAGGAAGGACTTCGAGACCCTCTACAATGACTGCACCAACGCAAGGTAACGCGCGGAGGGCAGCTGCCCCGGGCCCTTCCCACCCCGCTCCACGCCCTCGCCTCGCTGCCTCCGGGCGCCGCTCTCCGCGCGCCCGCTCTCTTTGCGCGCACCGGCGAGCGGCGAGCGCGGCCTCTCCTTTACTCTCCTCCCCTCTCCCCGCTCCTCTCCTCCCCGGGGCTCGCCAGCCGCGCCCGAGGCCCCCTGGAAGTTGGCACCTCACCCTGCCCACATCCAGCTCTTCTGGCCGGGTCCGCCCCTCGCTCGCCCTGGCGCCTGAGCTTGGCTGCGGTGGGACTTGAGAACCCCAGGCTTCAGGGTTAGGGGGAGGGAAGGAGGGGGACAACGCCTCTCCGGGGAGCCAAAGCCCTTTCCTGGGGCGCCGGCCCCTGGGAACTTCTCTGGGCGCTACTGCCGGCGTGCGCTCTCCCCAGGTCCCGGGCTCCACCGCGAACCTCCGGGCACCTCCTGCGGGTACGGGGGAGGGGGTCTGTCGTGACCCTGCCTTGTCCCGCAGGGTTCGCGGAGCGGGAACACACGCTCCGGGTGAGGGAAGCCGAGGAGCGGGCTGGCGGCCGAGGAGGGGACTTTGAGGTCAGGAGGGGGGCGACACACGCCGCCCAGAGGCCCGGGGCAATCCCGGGCCACGAACAGGAGTTCACTCCTGAAGTCCCGAGGGATCCTGTCGAGGGGAGGGATCTGTGTGTGCGCATGTGTGCATGTGTCTGCGTGTGAGCGTGCAAAGGAAATAAAGGGGTGAGTTTGCCCCGGGGCAACTGAGAGGGCGCCAGCCTGCTTTCTTCTGGAGGGGAGAGGACTGGGTGTCCTAGCCTCTCGGAAGCGTAACTAGAGAAACGGAAAAGGAAGACCGCAATGCTGTCCCCCTCTCCCTCGCTTCCTCTCCGGCGCTCACTTCTCACTCTTCCCAAAGTGTGTGTGTGTGTGTGTGTGTGTGTGTGTGTGTGTGTGTGTGTGTGTGTGTTGGGGGGGGGGTTCCATGTGTTTCTTCTCTTTCCTTCTTTTTTTTTCTTTTCAAGATTGGCTCACGCAGCGAGCAGGTGCACGTTTTGCACCGGGACGCGCTGCGGTCCTGAACACTCTGCCCTGGCTCTGCCAGCCAGGCACTCGGGCGGCCTCCGGACCGCCTCTGGTCCGACCAGTTTTATACTAATGAACGTTCAGTGGGGGAGGATCTACCGAGAGGGGGCGGGAGTGGGGGAACTTGTCAGTTTCAGGGTAGAAATGGCCATTTAACCCCCTTTCACAGTTCCGCTTTGTCCCTGCCACTGGTCTCTGGAAAGCGCAGTGGGAAAAGTTAAGAGGTTCGGAGAGAAAGCGAACAGGGAAAGTTGGAAACCTCAAGCAGGCACGTGGGAACTGCGCGCAAAATCTGAGCGAAAACTTCCGAATAAGTTTAAAGATTAAAGGAAGGGAGTTGGGATACTCTCCTAACAGCGCTAGAGAGACTGAGGTGGGAAGAAAGAATCGGACCAGGAGGGAATGGTGGGGGGGGGGGGGGGCGGCGGCGCTATCTCTTTCTTCTTGGAAAAGAATGATTGCTAGTTAGTGCCAGGAAGACTCAAAAACGAAAAGGACTCCAACTCCAACTCAGCAAACATCTTATCCTGACCTGCCCCGAAATTCTTCTTTGTGTTTATTTGCCATTCTTTATATGAGGCACGGGTGTGTGTTTGGGTTTTCAGCCTTCATTTAGACTGTTTTGGGGGTAAAAGTGTGTGTGCGCGCCCGCTTGTGTGTGTATTCCCGCGCCCGTGCCCAAGTGTGTGGACAGGTGGCAGTAGAGATTGTGGGGGGAACGGGGAGGGGAGGGGGGTGTCACTAAACGTCCTTTACTCAGATAATTGGAGTCCTTGGCTATCCAAAAGGTAGAGTATTTGTCCCAAATCTATTGTTAAAACTACTTGAACTAGAACAGAATATTATTCTGGAGTTGTTATGAAGAATGCTACTAAAATTTGAAGTCAGTCCACACATGACTGCTATAAAATTGTTTATCCGATATTTAGTAATGAAATATCCATTCTACTCCTCTTTGTGTTTCTTAGGGAACATATTGTACTAGGTAATCAATGGCCATTTTAGATGCACATACGCCCTGGAATACACAATTGCTCCAGAAAACTTCTCTCAATGGCTACATTATAATTAGTGTTAAATCATTGTAAAACTTGATTTTTATTGCCTAAATTTTTGCCTAAAAATCGAATTGCAGTCTTTACCATATAGTTGAAGGATAGTTCTAAAGTTATTGGCTAAAATTTCTTGTAAGTCCTCTTTCCCAGGTTAACAACAGCTCTGGAGTTTAAACTTGCAGAGCCAAGCTAAATTAAATCCAGTGGAACTGTTTATCCCTTCAAAAATATCTCATCACTACTCTAATTATGTTTCAATCACCTGGCCTTATTACTTGGCAATTAAATATGTTGTCTAAAATTATATTTCATATTATTTTGGGGTGAAATATAGGAAGTTTGTTGATTCACTATTGAATTTTGATCTGTTAACTAAAAAAGTTCACTGAAACTTAAATGTATGCAGATATTGCAGTCATTACCTGAGAAGATGTGTGGTTGCATGTACCTACTTATGTAGGTTTTCCTAACTCTGCCACTGAGGAAATCAAAAATTTATAATAAACTTCCCCTCACCAAAATGTACTGTATGTATTGTAGTGCATTACTATTTGTAATGGTAATAATGAGTGTTATTGCTTTATCTCTATACTTTGAAAATAATAGCCTAAGTGTTTTTGCATCTTGAATTTAAAACCAAAAATTACTTTCCATTCATGTCTAATTTATGGCTTTCCTATTATGATCTATTTTCATTCATCTAGATATATTGATTTCTTTCACTGTAGTTTCTTTATGCTCTAGCTACTTAACAGACTAAGAGAATAATTTACACAGAGTGTAAGAGAAACTGGAAGAAGGCAAACTGTATAAAATTACAGGTATGTGTGTATGTATAATGTGTGTGAGATATGAAATCCTAGCACTCTCAGCTTTTTACAGAACATGTATCTAATTATAAATCCTAGTAATATTTAAATATCAGGGAATCTTAGGAATCAAACTGATGCTAGAGAAAAGATAGGTTAATAAACTTGCTCAGAGTGGTTCAATAAGTTAACAGCAAACCTTAGAGTAGATTTAATTTGCTTGAGGCTATTGTATTAGTATGCTATCTATAAAAATTAGAATAAATGTTGAAACTATCTGTCATTACCACAAGGAGATGAAAAAGAGACTACCACCTGCTAGATAGGAAAGCTGAAAAGCCTAGGTCACAAATATGAAGGAAAATGTAAGGAAATATATCTAAAAGTTGTCAAAGGGCAGTCTGACCTTGATCAGCTTCCTCCAATTCTTATTTTAAAACTAAACATTAGTTGCATGAACTTGATTATTACCACAGAGGTCAGTTAATTAACTGCTAACCATTAAATAACAACAAAAAATAAAAGTAATTATATACATGGCCAAGGCTCTGTTTGCATGAGTCAACTGTTTGTAGAGTTGGGTAGAATTGAGTTTTCTGCGAATTCAAGGAATAAAAGCGACTCTTGTATTATGCCATCTAAAATGCTTGTTTGATTATTGTCAGAAGATGATTTTGTTTCAGAATCTTTCAAATCATATCGTGATTTAGTCTCTAAGGAGCCCTAGATCATTGGAGCCTTTTTTTTTTTTAAACTTGAATAGATTCTAGTTAGTTTCATCAGATTGTTTTACATACATATACATATATTTACAAACACTATTCTTTTGTCTTAAAAGTTGATACTATTCATGGATAGAAAATTAAAAGACTTGCTAAGCCTTTTACGTTTCAGTAGTACCATCTGAATAAAATTTTAGTTTAAATACACACTTTTTCCAATTCTTGACTTTATTTTTCTTGTCAGGGGTTTGAATAAAGATAGCAAGCTGAAACAGTCTATATTTATTTAACATTTCTCTTGTTGCTTGCTTTTTAATGACACAGACTTATGCATCGATAGAGAAAGTTTCAACACAAACACTGATTCATTCACTTGTAACACATAATTATGATACATGGCACAGAGAAATTCAAGAATTACTTCCAATGAAGAGAGACTATGCTTTTGAAGTTTTTGTATTACAGTAGATTAATGATTTCTATAAAGCTCAGTGTCCCATAACATTTCAGAAAGAATATAACATAATTATAAGACTAAGGCATAAAATATGAAAGTTTGTTTGGATCTACAATTAATGTGTCTACTTTTAAAATGCTAGAAAATTATAGTTTAATAGCTAATATATGAGTAGAAGCATATTCTGATCTAGGATTTACATTTCTCAATCAAATTATATTACAGAGTGCAAACTCTTGAGTTATTTGCATCAAATCTTTCAAACCTGTTGTTTTTCTTGGAATTAACCTCCAATAACAACATAGTCCTTGTCAGCGTGCACATAGTTATGAAGATGCTTTACTATCTGAACTCTGCAGTTTATTAATTAATGCTCTGAGGCAAGAAAACTGATTTGGACAAATGATATTTTGTGACTTCAAATATTATACAGAATAAACTACAAGACATGCTCCCCTCACCTTGGAGTTCCTTTAACACATAATTTTTGGCATTTGATAGGGAATTTTAAAATCTTCATTTTATTAGCCCAACCTACTGTTGTTTTTTCTTTAATCTATTACATTTCACTAAAGTTGCATATAAATTACTTAGACAAATATTAGCCACCCTCTTTTTGCTTCACTACCTCTTCCACCCCCCCCCCCCATGTGACTCCCAATATTGATTAAAGTCTTGGCAGAATTTGAGCATAAATCACTCTTCTCTTTGGCGATTTACTACATGTGATTCACCAGCATACAGAAACATAATGTGCTTTATTGTTTTTCATTTGATGTTTTGTTTTGGGAATGTAAGTAGCATTTGTAAATTAGATGAATATGCAACCAGGTAGTTATTTTAAGAATAATTTGTGCTTTGACTA